CCTGTGGATCCCAATCCGAAATTACCTAACCTGACCTGATTGTCATGTCTACATATTAAGCAACTTAATGGCCAAAACGTCTTGTGCTCTAGCTCTACTGGAAGGTGACACGCTTTGCTTTAGATAAACCTATAGGGTGATGTACCCATGGGCTTCTTATAGGCTGTGTGATATGCACACAGAGCATCATCGAGTTTAGTGAACCAATTCTTACAAGATCAATTCGCTATCTTTTCAAGTATTCTCTTCAACTCTTGATTAGTTAGCCTAACTTGACCACTTGTTTGTGGGTGGTAAACCATGGACACCCTATAGGTCACACCATAGCGACTTAGAAGTTTTTCAAATTGACCTTGGAATGAGTCCTTTAGCGACTAATGATGGCTCAAGAGGTCCCAAACCTGGAGAAAAATTTATTGAGAAACATGCATACACGTCAAGCATCATTGGTGGGAATTGCTTGCGCTTCACCACACCTAGAGACTTTGAGAACACCCAAAATGGTGTTATTTAGCCCTTCTATTTAGGTTAATTTCAAGTCATTTCGTGTTCACATTGGTTGATATGTCGTCAAATATACCCTTATTTCGTTCATCGGAGAATATATTGTCATTGTAGGGCGTATTAGATACTATGAATAATTTAGGTACCAAAAAGGGGCACAAATATAGAGGAAGGGGCAAAAAGGGAGATTGCGGCGAAGGAGCCAAGATTGCAGCCTTCAGTGCCAAGATCACATCCATGAAGTGAGGCGTGAACTAGAACACCAAGTTTGCAACCTTCAGTGCTAAGATATCGGCCACAAACTCTAGAGCCAAGGGCGCAAACTTCAGGAGTAGCCACCAAGAGAGGATTCAAAAGTCGACTCGCAGTTCTCTTCATCCGTGCCCGTGATAAAGATCACCGTTGTGACATCTCACAATTGCGACCTAAGTCTTTCAACTAGTTATCGCAACTCCCTGGCAACGACGCCAAAAACTTGATCGCTGCTTCAGTTGAGCTTTAAATTTCTAAAATTGTAGCTTACTCACTAGTCAATCCTAACAATGCCAAGCATAACCTAGCTAGAGGTGTAGTAAAGTGGATAGATTGTATTCCAAAGGGTCACGATATCCTAGGCTTCTTAGGCTTGATCATTATGTAGTCAACTCGTTACTTAGCAGGTGGACAGTTAGCGATTCTAAACTAAAGATTGATAGAAGAGAAGAGCTACTCGGGGTGACTCTCTCGCCCTAAACCTAGGCTTATCATTAAAATGGCTAATTGCGTTGGGCTATAGGATAGGATGCGAAACTCTCTAATATGAGGATTTCAATAATTTCGTCCCCTCTTCCTAACATGGCCCACAAAGACCTAATGTCACCTTAGTCTAAGTTTACATGTTAGGGTTGCTCCCATAATTCCTGTGAATAGGTTAAACCTATCATGCATACTAGATTGGTGCTTCGATCAGAAAGTGTGCGACCTTTCTTGCATTGTTTTAGGAGGGCATTCCTATAGCATGGGTTCGCTCACTACGTACACTAAGGAATTCTAAGATCATTCATCTACCCTTAATTAACCATTTGGCATTATCCATTCAAACCCTAAAATCCCCACCTAGTGTTAAACTGAGTTGTAGGATTGTACGGAAGAGTTGGGTTACTTACCCAAGCATAATCAAGCATATATTCACTAAAACAAATATATTCATTCATAAACCCTAACACAATTACATCTACATTCAAAACATATATATAGGGTTTGTGGGGTTTAAGCCCCAAAGTACCTTGAGGGATTACCCCATGAATAGGGGGAGAAGAGACATACAAAGATGGGAAGAAAATATGAAGAAGGGTCTTCAAGTGGTGGAAATCCTCATCCAAAGCTCTCTTCTTCTTCTCCAAGCTTCTAATTTTCTGCCAAAAGCCAATCTACTCAAGGGGAGGAGTCCCATATTTATAGAATTCTACAGTACGTGCAAGTTCACAAGCACGAGGTATAAGATCGCAACCATGATCATTAGGGGAGAGGCTGGGATCTTGAGGGTTATAGAATTTTGAGGACGCAGGCAAGTTCGAGGGCAAGGGCATAAGATTACGACCTTGATCTTTAGGAGAGAAGTTGCGATCTTGATGGACACCGTTTACTCCTTGCTAGAGGTGGAGTTCGCAGCATGACATCACAGTTGCGATTTTGAGATGTCTGTAAACTCAGTTTTTTCTCAATTGAATACAAACCCTAGTTTGATTCATCTAGCATCTTGTTTCGTGAGTTTGATTAAGCAACTTAGTGGATTCTAGGTTGTTTGATAGCTTGTATCGATAAGCTACTCACTTTGATCGTGGCCAAGTCTCAACTTATAATCATCAAGCCTCTTTCCCTTATGAAGACTGCACGAGATTTCCATCCTAGACACACCAAAACTTACCTCTGTTTTTGTGTGTTCTTGTTTGAAGATCAATTCAACCTTGGAATTGAAAGGGCTGTGTAATTCTGATCACTCGAGACCCTACCTTGGCCTCATTAAGGGAAGTGATAAATCGAGTTGGCAAACAATCATGAACTCATAAAAGCATACAATGCACCCCCCCCCCCCACTTGAGAGACACATTTTCTTCAATGTGGGAAATCTAGGTTAGATTATGAATTGTTACCACAACGGGTTGATGTAGTCGAGAGAAATATGGTACTTAATGTGTAGGTCTTTGTCGATCTAGAAGGAAGTCATACAAACACAGAATAAAGAGAGAATAAACGAGTTTTATAGAGAGAAAATGACAAAAATGGAGTCTTAAGTCTTGATTCGTCTCCCAATCATTTGATGAAGGCTCTCGTAGATACAATTGCTTAAGAAACTTCCAATTAAACTTCTCTTCTCTTCTCTTCACTTCACTTTTCATTGCTTTGCTTTGAACCAAATCAAATATCTTCGAAGTGTCATCATCGGATCCACCAAGAGGGATTGATGATAACGTGGCCTCGACTCGGCAAAGAGTTTTTTCAAAGGGATCCAATGCTAGGAGCCTCTCGAGGCCGGGTGAACTTCCATGGTTAAACTGAATGGTCTCTTCCGAACACCAAACCGGATTAACCCCCAACCATCTTCATCCTCTTATTTAACCTCCTCTCTCTTATTCGTGTCTTCCCCAAGTTGAGTACCAAGCTCATCTCCTTCTTCACTTTCCTTTCCTCCTTCACAACCTCATCATTTCTCTCTTCTACATCCATTTATTCTTGTTGTTTGGGAGCTATGATGTTACTCCAAGCGAATTCTTCACTAGATTGGTCTTCGAGATCCACTTGCTTTCGCACCTTTGAGACTTCTTTCTCTTTTACCGCATCCTCATTTCTCTTCATTGACGATGTAAAAGAGGTGATTTGTTCAAGATCTCTCATCTTCCTTTTCCAACCTCTTGAGCATCTGTTTTTGTTCAATGAGAAAGTCATGAATACAAGGGTTGGGACCTCCTAGGGTTGAAAATGTACATTCGGTCTCCGCCTCTTTGGGTGTAGGTGGTGGTGGTGAATGAAGCACCTATTTTTCCACCATCTTGCATCTCTCTTCCTTAGCCTCACTTTCAAACCATATGTAAAAGAAACTTGGAGGAAGGTTAGGGTCACTAGTATATACATACTCGTGCCCTATTACGAAGTGCTACATGGCTAAGTCTGCTGTGGTTTTGGCCTTTGATGGTGGTGTGGGATGGAGCACCTCTTCATTGTTGCAGTTTGAACAGTCTCCCTTCTCCCTTGGACTAACAATGAAGGATTCTTCAACCTCTTGATGACTCTCTTGAGGAAGAGAAGAACTTGATTGTCTTGTGCATTCCCTCCATCGGGGCAACACTTTGGGCTCCAGTTGAAGGTCGGGTGAGGGATTTGGAGTGGTCCATGACTCCAAAGCGGATTGAGCCCTTTCACTCTTCATCATGAAGCTCGACAATTCAAATTCCAAGCTTGCTCTAGGCTTCAGGAGTGATCTAGGGTTCCATCCGTGGTTCGAACGATATGCTTCTTGGTATGGTGGATGAGATCAATACCCTTGGGGGTATGGTTTTTTATTGTAGAGAGGTGTCGGTTCTTGGTATTCGGATCCTTGGGTTGCATCATCGCTTGAAGATCCGAGATAGCACCAATAGTGAAAACACAACGGTCACATAGGGTATCCCCATTGGCCGTTTGGATGATCGTGATCCTTTCAATGCCTGGGAGCGGTACAAAAGATACTGGAACTTTGTGATTTTCACGTTCTCCATGTTTTCATCACGGTTTCTAGCCGTGACAATTGTTGTTAGCCCGTGATCCTCGTACTTTTCTCCACTTTGCTCCCTTTTAAATCCCTTTTGTCCAACTTTTGATCCTATCGCCCATTCTACCTACTAAGGTCTGAAATATGCCAAAATAAGACGAGACCTAGTATAAAATAGCTCCAAGTATGGTGCAAAATAAGTCATACGACACAAGGCAAATGGTATAAAAGCATACAATCTATCCTGAATCAGTATTGCTATCGGCCCTGGAACCCACCTCACATGGACACCAAGTTGTCATGGGTAAAGGCAGTTAGGCCAGACAAGTTGGATGAGGAGTTTGACACTTTTCAGACCTCCAAGGCCCAGGACATGGTGAGGATTAGGTACGATACATTGAGGAGTGTTGCCAAGAGGATATAGACGTTGGTCGGAGATATTGCGACGCAAGGTTCTACTGGGGTGGAGAAATTTTTAAGCTATGACTTTGTTTGTGATATTCTGCTTCATTGTGGTTGTGGCGCTCTATATTACCCATTCAAGATGGTGGTTCTGGTTGCTGGGTTGCTTTGGCTAAGGCATCCCAATTTTCGATGCAAGTTGCCTTTAGTTCCAAGTAATTTCTTTAGGAGGCTGTCTTCCAGAGCTGATAGCATGTTGTGATTAAACAAAAGTGAAAACACAACGGTCACATAGGGTAATTGTTTATTTTGATAGTTAGGTTTTTGAATTTTGATCATGTTAACAATTGCTGATCAAGACATGATTTGGAACCCATGGCTTATATTGTCCCTTCTTTTCGAAACGATTCGAGCTTTGCGCATAACTTGGCTACCATCTTCTGAAAGAAGACAACCCATTTAATAACCCTACCTAATTTGTATCCAAAAACTAATGCCATTTGTATCCAGAAACAGGCTATGAACTTCGGCTAACATTTTGGTCATAAATAAGAGAACAAACAACACCATGGTATCCATCGTACCTTCACTGAGGTACATGGACGATTCTGTCTAAAATCAAGCTACAACGATTTTTTAGTTATACAACAAGAAGCACATTTAACAGCTGTTGATAAGCACCAATCCGAACTTTAAATGCTTGGTTAAAGTATATCCACAAAACTAGAGTTAGCTGTCGGACAATTTGATAGATTAGAAGTTTCGAACTAAACACTGCGAGCAGCGTCACTTGCTACAGCAGGCTTCCTGTTTAAGTACTGAATAACAGCATCTTCAACCCTGTTGAAAAGACAGAAAACAACAAGTTACTTGGCCTGACAAACGTAACATCAACCTACTGTAGGTGGAAGCTGAATCCAGTTAAGAAAACAAAAATGAGCAACCTTGGAAAACCCACTGAATCATTTCTCAACTTACCAGGTCTGGCTGAAGAAATCTGCACGCTGCTCCTTCTCAGCACTCCGACTGGGTTCCCCTACCACAAGCTTCAAGTCTTTGCTTTGGGATTCAATCAGAGCATTGATGAACTCCACAGGAGACTGACTAAACCCAAGAAAGAAAGCCCGTCTTCTACGATGCTCATGAATTTTCCTAATGGCATTAGTTATCGACCCATCACATGCATCAAGCTCCCTGCTCTTCTCAGCATTAGCCAGCATTACTGTCAATTCCCTCTGGATAGGAAGTGGAAAGTCCACCACAACATCATAGCAGGCAGTCCCCACTGGACTAACTCCTGAAAGTTTAACTTGATGTTCCAAATGTATTGGTTTAGGTGCAAACAAATGCTGAGATATCTTCTGTGCAACCGTTGTGAACTTCATTTTCCCCTCCCCAAATACTTTCTGCAGAGGTGGATCACAGTTAAAAAAGGCTGGGTCATCTGCGCAATGCAGCTTCTTAGCTTTCACATAATGCCAGATTCCAGCTATCACCCTAGGCCGGCTCTCTACCTCGATCCCCAGAACTTCAGACAAAGCTGGAGATAACTTGAACTTCTCGGGAACATAGTTCATGTCCAAACCTATATGAGCTAGGAACTCTTTATCACCCTTTCTACTCACTTCAAAACCTTCATGAGGTGAAGACGAACGAGCTTGCTCCCATAAGATGACGTGATTATCAGGATATAGTCTCTGATCCAAGGAAATGGACACCCTTTTGAAGAAAGACGAGAACTTTGGGTACAATGGATTAAAATTCTGAACTACTCCAGGCGGGTTAGGGTTAACCCCTTCTTCCAAAATCCTCCCAATGATCTTGAGTGTCCAAGAAGGTGGTTCGGCATTCGGCTTCTGTGGGATTGTCTTGACCTGATTGGCAAATGTATTGAACACATAAATCCTTAACGTTTTCTGCACTGAAGGAGGGGTCTTAAGTGCTTGATGAATGTCCAGTTTCTTTTTTGTAAGAGCAGCATCAACATGGGACTCGAACTCGAGCAGCTGGGTGTAAAGAGCAGACTCTGGGAGAATAGATGCTACTCTCTCCGGCAGCTGTTGTTTCACTGGAAGTTTCTGCATCTTACTTCGAGCGGCTGCGGCGGCTGGTGATGAATTCATGGATTTTGGAAGTGGGGAGACCATGGTGGGGATTCCTGGAGGTCGGCCAGGTGGTTTCTGGAAGGGAGGCCGCTTCACGCCGGCCAAGTTGCTCATTCCGGGATTCAGGGTCTGATTAATGGCGATCCCTTGAGCCTGCATTTGCGCCTGGAGTTGAGCGTGAGCAGCTTGGAATTGAGCTGCGTGAGCCTGAGCCTGTGCTTTCAACTGGGCCTGTGCATTCGCTTGAGCTTGAGACAACTGGAACTGATTCTGCAACCCGGAACCTATTTGGGGATGTCCTTGCGACTGCGAGAACCCTTGGTTAGGAGGAATCGACGAGTTGATGATCCCAAATGGGGATGAGGATTGCCCTAAGCTCTTTGGTGGAGTGTTGTTATTAGCGGCAGCCATTGCTTCTTCCTTTCTGTTCACAATCTGAATGGCAGACCTTCACAGGAATTAAAACCCCATAAACCCCAAATTCATACAAATCAAACAGGGACGCAGCAGCTGCCGCTAATAGTTGACAAAATGCCAAAAGAAAAGCTCAGAGAAAGGACAAATTTGACAGCTCATTTGGCAAGAACCCGAATGAAAAGAGCATACGAGAGGAGAAGCAGTTAAAGATGGAAACCTTAACGATGGATGATCATGAAAGACTGAAGATTAGGAAATTCGTCAAGTCGATATTTCCAGAGTTTCCAAAGAGGAGATTTGACAGAAACTTACTCCGACAGTCGGACTGAAGCAAGACGCCCGCTTTGCTGCTGACCAGTCAGTGACCACTGAGGGAAGGGAGTTAAGGACGGAGGAGAGAGGAAAGAAATTTCGTTCTAGGCTCCCTCTTCCTTCTATCGTGTTTTCACCGAACGCCGAACTGCGACTTTTGTCATTTCCGTCGAAGTTTAACGTTTAGCCCCGGATCTATGCTACCGACTAGGGTGTTCGGAGTGGTTATAATATCATGACAACCGTTTTAACCCATAGTATGTCGATAATTTTGTTGGTTAATTTGGATAATTGATTTGGTTTGATTAAATTATTTACCCTGTTTGGTTTATGTAGTTTGGTTTGGTTTTAGATACTTCTATAGGGATGGCAAAAATATCCGTAACCGTGGATATCCACCCCAATCCGATCTAATTGGGTAGGGTAAAACCCGAGCCCGAAGCATTTTTCGTGGGTACAGGTAAAACCCGAACCCGAATGTTGCGGGTAATGGGTGGGCATGGTTATCTCACTATCCAACCCGAACCCGCCCAATTATACACATGCATATGTATTTTGTCTAGAAATAATCATTATTTTTCTCTAGAATATTTTATATGTAGCATATAAATATAATATTTTCATGAAACTATGTTGTTTTATTTAATTTTCGTCATTCTAGTGAATTATTGTCGTACTTTTCCTCTTACGTCATGTGAGTATACGTGTGAATGTTAACATATTGGTTGGAATTATAAGGAGAAATTATTACCCATGGATAACCGTGGATACCCGAAACCGGAACGGGTATGGGCATGGTTTTGATTTTCTACCCGTTTCTCGTATGGTTACGGGTATGGGTAAAACCCGAACTAAATTAGGTAGGGTAACGGATATGCACTATCCGCCCCCGACCCGACCCATTGCCATCCCTATACTTCTAACCAAAGAAACCAAATTAACTAGTTAAGTAATTAGCTATATATCATATATATTTTATATACATACTTAATACTTTTTGTAACAACTCAAGAGACAAACGTTCCTCCTTTTTAGACTCATACAAAATAAAGCTCAATATTGTTCATATAATGTATGTTTGTATTTGAAGAGTGTTGAATACAACTAGGCATGGTAATCGACCGGTTATCAGTATACCGCCCAAGAGGGCATAAGGGAATCGAATACCGGTACCGGTGTGTAACCGGTTAACATTTACAAACCGGTTATACCGACTAACCGCAAAGGAGGGGGAGAAATGCTCTTGTTGGTTGCTACTGATCTGTGGAACTGGAAACAACAGGAAGGTGGTCAGAATCGCATACTGAATTCTAACGGGAAGATGAGATTTTGAGGATTGAGTTAGCTTACAAAGATGGCTGAAATCGGCAGGCCGTCGGGGAGATGACCGACGAGTGATTAGACTAGTGAAGGCGGAAGAAGAGAGGAGAGGCAGCGACTACTCTCTCAACGAATTTGGGGCTGGGTGCAAGGACGGCGGAAGGAGGAATGAAGGAACGGAAAGGAGAAAGGCAGAGTCGCAGAGAGGGGAGGCGGAGGGGCAGAGGGGCAGCGTCGGAGAGGGAAATTCAATTGGTCGAGAGTGACATACCGAGAAGGGGTTGTGGCTGTGGCTGACGAGTCTGGAATGCGGCGTTTAGTTGATTAGGGTTTCCGCCTCCCCTTCTCCTCTTTACTCAGAATGCGACGTTTTCAGTCAAGCCCCCTTTCCCAACACGGTTTCCAGCATAACCAGAACACCATCGGTTAATATCGGAAGGCATGCTAGTATACCGAGACAGCAAAAATCTTTGGCGACAATCGAGATTGCCGGTTAACGGTTTAACCGGTAACCACCAATTATCAGTACGGTTATCGATTAAACCGTTAATCGATAAACTGATTGGCACCCCTAAATACAACATATGATGTCGAATTTAGACGATACTTATACATTATGTTGGATGAAAACTTGAAAGAAAGTCAATTCACACAAACACAATAATTCATAACTCCATACCTTTGGCATATATTTTTGTTAGGCGAATACTTCTATTGACCGCAAGATAATTGTTTTAGTTGCATGTATTTATTTTAAGAGTCAATTATATCTATCTATTGAGTGTTATGTTTTATTCATTATATGAATTGCAAATTAATACGTTAACCGAAAAAATTCTCAATGACAATGTGATATTATATTGGTTATGTTTTATTCAGTATACTATTAAAAACCCGTAGATGAGGTTCGATCGAAAAATTTACAATAATATATATAATACCGAAATCGTAGTTGTAGAAAATTATAACGAGAAAAGAGAACACCACAAGATTTACGTGGTTTCCCCGTTTGATGTGAAGGGGACGAGCCAGAGCTCTCAGAGATGTCTTATTGATCGATGGCTTTGTGTTACAAAGCGGCGGCTGTCAACATTGAACACGACCTTAAATACAAAGGAAGAAAAGAGCAAAGCTAGTTATCGTCATCAAGTTACGCAAGGAAAAGGAAAAATAAATGCTCCATGAAATAAAGATGGATCGGCCAAGATAGTGAGTCATGAACAAGCCTAAGAGAGCTCACGACATCACATCACGCCCCCTCAACCGAAGTAATGGATGTCAAGGAGTATGAGCTTGACCTGTAGATGATGAAATTTATCAACGCTCGGACCCTTGGGCAATATATGAGCTTGCTGATCTGAATACACAATCTTGAGTGGGGTAATGTCACGAGACTGAACACGTTCGAGAACGAAGTAACAGTCTATCTCCACATGTATGGTGCACTCATGAAAGACAGGATTGTCAATGTGCAGAGCTGCCTAATTATCGCAGTAGAGAGGAGTAGGTGTTGTGAGAATGACACTCAAATCGCGGAGTAACTAGCAAAGACAAAATTTTCACTCACCTTTCTAGCCATAACACGGTATTCGGCCTCCGCAGAAGACCGGGCAACCACTGTATGTCTCTTCTTATGCCAAGAGACCGGAGAACAACCCAAAGTAATGAAGTAACCTATAGTAGATCGCCCATCGGTGGGGTAACCGGTAACCAGATAGTCGGTTAACGGTACAAATCGGTTATACCGACTAGCCGCAAATGAGGGGGGAGAAACGCTCTTGTTGGTTGCTCTTTCCTTGTGACTTGGTTATCAAAGTTGGTCTCGGGAAGGGAAAGTGATGAGATTCACCAATGAGACACTCTTGATCATCCTCACCACGGAAGCTCTCCAGGATGAGTACTTCTCATTCCGCATAGTCTTCATTGACCTCCCCTCCAACCTCCACTTTTCTTTCAATTGTGAGAGGCGATGGCATTCATAAACTCGTGCCACCTTCTCTTCTAGTGTTAAACCGGTAGGAGGGAGGGGTGGGAAATCCATGTCGGAGCTCGTTCTTTCAAAGTTCTCATGCCTCGCTTCTCTGACTTCCTCTCTTTCTTCTAATGTTAGGAGGCAATTGTGAGCAAGTTCTGCACATGCTTGCTCAACAATTCCTCCTAGCCTCTCTGTGTGTCAAAGGATTTCCTCCGATTCTCGTAGAAAGGTTGAGTCGAAAGGGTCGGCAATTGCGAGGTCCATGCTAGCACACCCTTAATTGGTGCCCTGGGCAAATCGATCCATTATGAGCTCTAATTTTCTCTTTGGCTCCGGTTGTGGAGTGGCACATGGTCTCGAGGTTTGTCCCACGAAAGCCTCCATGGCCAACTTCGACTTGGATTTCACCTCGAGTTGTGGATGGAAACCCTCTTGATATGGGGAAGGTTCTTGGTTTCCCCATGAGCATAGTTGCTCTTCTTGGAAGGAAGGTTGGTAGTAGAACCCGGATCCTTGACTTCCCCTATTTCGATCGTCCCATGAAGTGTCGGGGTAACCACTCTCGAGTGGTGGTGGATACGCCACACTTGGGTGAAATCATAAGGATCCATGATCCAATACCTACAAACACAAAAACACTAAAAAGGGAAATCAAACACACACAAACCACCCCTCAAGACGAAGGGTGGTAAACAAAACATAAATGAAACACAAAACAAAAACAAAAAGGCAAGATAGAAAATGCTAAAGTAACACTAAGCGTATTTTTCTGGATAATAGACCATAAGGTTCCCCGGCAACGACGCCAAAAACTTGACTCGCACGGACTACACCGCAAAAGTATAAACTCTAGCCAGATTCAGTATAGGGCAAGTATGTTTTAATTGTCGAACCCGGGCTGGTGCGTGTACCCCTACTTCAATAGCTTAAGTTGTTATCTAGCAAACGGATTTGGGTTTAAAAACTAAGAATACTACAAAATAGATAAACAAGAAAATTAAATCGAGGTTGCCCCAATAAGAGAAGAATTCACCCGGGTATTGCTCCCCCTAGCTACATATCAAGATTGACCAAATCGAGTGTGAGGTGTGTTCATACACCGTACGAGGGCGCAACAAGTGAAGGAAACCTCACTCTCTAATTCAATCGGTTAAGGAAAACAATTAAGCTATGAAATCTAACTCTCTCAATCAATGGATCAAGAATTACTACAATAAACTAGAAGATCTAGCTCTCTTAACCTTTCAGCTAAGGATTGCAACAATTAGCTAGGAGTCCTTGCTCTCTTAATCGATCAACTAACGGTTGCTAGAACCAATCCCTCGGAACTTAATCTGGACGTCAAAATAACAACCAATCAAGATTCTAAATCGAATTTTGAGGCTTGCCCTAAATTTCCCAAGGTTGGTGGCTCATTTGGCCAAGGAATTCCAGCTTTTGAAAGCCTCTTAGCAAGAAGGGGATTTCCCTAAACTTGACATAATAATGAGAAATGGATAACACAACTCAAACATCATGAAAATACCTCAAACTTTATATTAAACACAAACCCACACACATAGCATTATGCCTATACAATCTACCACATACAAAAAGCTAGGGTTCACAATATCCAAGTGAAGAGGAACTCTACTTCATATCTAGGCAAGGGAAAACAACAAAGAAGAGAGAAAGAACTATGGTGGATGCTTGTCTTCCCTCCTTGTTGATGAGAACTCCCTTGAGAAGTAAGAATCTTCACTCCTCTAGCTTGAAGTATGCCCAAATCTTCTTCTTCTCTCCTTGTTGACCACTTTCTCTCTCTAGATTGTGAAGAAGAAGACCTTTCTCTCTCTCACTAGGGTTTCATCTTGGGGTTTATTCAGTTGGAACCCTAGAAGGAAACCCAGAAAATCTAAACCTCACCAAAGATCCAACCTTTCTTTCTCTCTCCCAGCAGCCTTCTATTTATATAGCCCAACTGTCAAGTTCACAGTCAGCACTTTAGGGGTGGGCAACCGGTTCGGGTTTACCGAACCGAACCGAAATGAAATAATG